TGATATTGAAGGGAGTTAGTCGTTAACACTGTTGAATAAGTATAATATCTGTCTCTTATACACATCTAGATGTGTATAAGAGACAGGTATACATACAAGGAAAATTCATAAAATGTATTATTTAGGCTCGGTGGAAATGTAGATTTTCTACACTGTAGGTGTCTAAATTTATTGTAGAGCATCCCATTTCACCAGCAGCAGTTTGCTCTGGATGCTTTTTATTAAACTTAAAGGCTTAAAAATTTGAATTTTATGTGCCCAACTTAGACAGAATTTGAAGGCAGGCACGTTGACCGCTAAGCTTGCAGCTCTATAATTTTTAGATTGTAGGTTTCTAATGGTTCATCATAGCTTTTGCATCATTTATTTATTAATCGTACAGTAATTTTTAATTTTGTACATAGGCCTAGTCGTGTGTATAATGGTGATCTATTATCAAATACAGATCTCCCAGGTCTCCCTCCAATTAAAGACCACATTTGGGATCAGGTGTTAAATGGACCATAGCAGCTTTGGTCTCTAATTAGAATAAAAAAGATAATTAAAAGACATGTGTTAATTAGGGACCACATAAAGGTGGTCTTTAATTAGAGGGGGAACTATAGTATGGTGATTTTCCAATGTCTTGTTCCCCATGTTCATGCACAGTGGGTGGCAGCCTTCTACTTTTTTCAATATTAAATTTAATATTAATATCCACAGTTTTTTTTTTCCATAAAAAAAAATTGCATATAATTATATAATAATATTAATAATAATAGTAGTGTAGCTTTATTATAGTGCTATATCCATCTTACATAAGATGCTCGGGGCGCTTGATATGTGGACTAGGAACTCGATCAATGACTTTCTTTGACCCTTTTAAAGGGTCCCTTCCTGTCTGTGCTACCCGGTAACCCTGTACCAGCAACTCTCGTCGTCCACCACAGAGGCTGTCTGTTCCAGTACGCCGGGGTATCCCACTACTCGTCTCGAAGGATGTACTGGGTTCTTTGTAGTGCACACGAGCCATTGTATACACTGGGCCTAGGGTTTAAAATCCTTAATTCGAGAAGACTTTATGCTGCTTTCTCTGGGGGAGTTGCCCATTTGTGCCAAACATGACAAGATAACTGGTGCAAAAATGATGAGAGGATGAAGATAGAAATAATACCATGAATGTATATATTTTTGTTATTAAAGTGCTGTCCAAACTATCAATTTTTGTTTGACAAAAACACGTTTACATGATGACATCACATCTTGACCATATATAGGCATATCATGACTATACAGTGTACTGGATATAACTGGTTTAAATAGTTTATTCCTTGAGTACAAATGTAGCTTTATATATTATTTGAGTGCAACTCAGCACAGCTCATCTTTGATACACTTGAAATTTTATCAGCCTGCAAGAATGTGTGTAGGTGGTGGCCATATCTATAATTTAAATATTTACTTGCGATAACGTTGGCAAATGTCAGCGAATAATTTGTACTTTATGTGCTACACTATGCATGTGTGTTGTTGCTATGGTGACCATGGCACAGTAATCAGCCTCATTTTAATAATGTGCATATCCATTGTGTTTGGCGCAATTTCCGGTAACTAATAGCGTAGTTATTTCAATTGACATTCTGAAAAATTTGAATTGATTATGATACTAAGATTACTATCAGTATTGTTATTTTTTTTTAATGAATCCACATTGTTCTTTCTGTATACATGGCAGCCATGTTTACTCCATTGTTGTTTTAGTATATCGTAGTATTATTTGTTACTGTATGTCAATACAGTTAAAATATAAGAACACCAACAAAACATTGCACAATAAAGGTACTTAGTTTTTGATTAAAGTTAAACCTAACAATCATTAACATCAACAAATTAAAAACAAAAGTCCATGACCGTAACTGGATTTTTTGAGTAGCGAGTAATTAAGAATTTTGTTTGAAGGTTTGCATTGAGAAGTAAAGTGTTCAACCAATCAGCAGCAAGTCTCACTAATATACCCAAAACATATATTTCACTGTTTCGGAATTTCTGCAGATATTCTCCTGAAGACGATTGAAGCAACTCAATCGAAACATTAAGATACTCTCAACCAACAACAACAGTTCTTTTCAGAACTATGTACGTGGTATACCGCAAGCATTAATATCTAAATTAAAAATTTATTAGTGAATTAGTGCTATTGTTGTTTAATTATTAAATAAAAATCATTGATGTTTGTAATTTTTTTTTTCAATGGGAGAAACCATTGTTAAATTTTGATGAATTGTTTGTAGTGCATTACAGGCAGGATAAATGCAGGCTGGATACAGTTATTAAAATGGCAGACCATAAACTACTGTCTGTACATGCACGTTGGAACACTTCAATCTTAATGGATTGGGTTTGCATGAGCTATAGATCTACACTGGTGTTGCATATTCGAAGAGCTTTAATGTAAAAAATGAAAACAGCAAAATTTCAGTCAGGCACAACATTGTCACGATGACGTGATTCCATGAAGAACGTTTCGTATTTAAAAACAGTCCTCGGCTAAGTCATCAAGTGCTCGGATATATTGATTTGGTGGTCTGGGACGACAGTGGTCCACCAAGGTGATTCCAGGAAGAAAGTTCCGTATTTAAAGACATTCCCCAGCTAAGTCGTCAAGTGCTCGGCAGGACTGGAAAAAATATTTTTGTGCCTCAAAATGTTATTTTTACACTATTATAGCAAACAGTAGTATTAAGTGGTTTGAAGCAAGCAAAAATATTTAAATTTAATTATGCATGAAATTGTGATGTGTCAAAAAAAAAAAAAATTCTTTTTTTATAAAATGCCTCTGGGTTGAAAGTCAGTGGGTCTGACCGCCGGTCGCGCACTTATTGCAGCCCTGGTGCTCGGAGATGGATTTGATGGTCAGGCAAGAGAGTGGTCAACTAAGTTTATGCCATGAGGAACGTTTTGTATTTAAAGACATTCCTCGGCTCAGTCGTCAAGTGCTGGGAGATCGGAGATTTGACGGTCGAAGGACCGTCGCACAACGCAACGTATGCCTGGCTTTAAGTTACATTCGAGTTCGCTTTATTGCCATCTAATAATATGCTCATAGTATCTTGACAGTATATTCAATAGCATGGGATTGAGTCTATTTTAAGGCTTGTCTAAATTTAAATCAAGGAGGATAAGTATATAACATATGACCCGTCAGTTTAATCTGCGTATCCATTATAAAAAGGAGAAAAAGCTTATAAATAAAGAATTAAAATTCCAAATGAGGAATTATAATTCCTTATGGGTTTACCCTAATCCCACACTATTAAACTGGCCATTTGTTCTTTGTGGCATACAACACCAGTTCCACAAGTCCAGTAATCTGGAACCAATGCTACAAAAATAATACTTTTACATTGCATCTTTCGTTAGAGTCCCTATATAAAACCTGAATTATTTGTCGATGTGGTAATGTCTGTGGTACATCTGTTTCATAAAACCTACGCAAGTTACCTTGAATAAAAATTCCTGGAAAAGATTCTTCCTTTAATATTGCATTGTCTGTTAACATAGTAATGAATAAAATTTGCTTTTTGTTCACTACGATTCCTCAATACTGTACAACACATAAACAAAATGAAAGATTTGTTTAGAGAAATATGACGTCATTGCTTATACAATTACTGTACAATTAAGATTCATAAATGACAAATTTTTAAATTATTTAATTTAATGGAAAGAACAAAAATTGAGATAATTATATTAAAAGTGCACTAAAATTTTTGGTTTATAAATTTATAAATTAAATATATTTAAATTAACATTTTTTTAAAATTATTACTGTTTTTGCATACTTATAAAAATATAAGTTTAATATGGTAAGAACAATTATGATTAAGATAACACCCCCCCTCCCCGCGCTGGATTCCATTCCGCATAGCCGTCCCCAGCTTAGCTTGCAGCTTGCAAAGTTTGTATGTTTTTATAAAATATAATGTAGGGTTATGCAAGGTTCATATGGGTCATTGAAATGGTTGTAGGCTGAAGTACAAGGCATAAAGGCTGGGAATTCCATACCACTTCTCCCAGCACAACAAGTTACTTTTGTGCTGTCTCTTGCATTTGGACGTCATGTACCGGTTGACGTCACTGCTAAATACATTTGATAGTAATCCAGTCTGTTTTTATTTGGAAGTAAGAGATCACATTGCTGTACAACGTTTGCATCATATAATTAGCAGTATGTCACAAAATTCATAATCAAGTTTAATTATATAGTAGTATACTAATGTTTTGTATAATGTTACATTCATATAGCACTTCATACAAATCGAGCCTTAGTGCTTGCAACATTGTTAAACCCTGGTCATTGGATTCACAGATTGTCAAACCAGATAGTGCCACCTTCTCTCTCTCGGCATTAAATCTATTCAATGCTCCCAGATGGTGCAGAAACCCCCTACCAGCTACACCTACTAGGTGAAGAGAGGGAGGAAAAGGCAGGTAAACTATTCGCCCGAGGACACATGCGGAGTCTTTAGCCATGTTTTTAACTGCCCAAGGTTGAAAGCCCAAAACAAAACTGTTGTGCCAACTGCTCCCACTATATACAGTATTAGGCCAAGTTTTAAAAAAAAGTAGTCTCTCTCGTCCTAATTTTTGAAAAAAAAAAGAATGAAATCAGTTTTTTTTCTCTCTCTCTCTCTCTCTCTCTCTCTCTCTCTCTGAGATGGCAAATCCAAGATGGTTGATGGGAAACAGTACTTTCTCTCTTTTACCAAGTACACACATTGAAAACAAATAAAAGAAACACAAGACATGATTCATACCATATTGTATCCTCAACCATGTATAATCTAAAGAGGAATTACACTGATGTGCGTTTTCATAAACAATTTTGTAAAATAAAAGGGGGAAAAATTTGGTGAAGCAGAGAAAATGGATGTGCAAGGGGGGCAAGAAACTATTTTTCTATTTTTTTATTTGGCCTTAATGGTCCATGTTTAATGATTTGTTTGGTTTATATTTTTCAGGACACAGCAGGGCAGGAGAGGTATCGTACAATCACAACTGCCTACTACAGGGGGGCAATGGGCTTTATTCTCATGTATGATGTAACAAATGAAGAATCATTTAACAGTGTACAGGATTGGTAAGCATGTTTATGATCTCTTTGTTTCGACTGGCTGACTGCCTTGCTGATGTACTGCAAGCTTTAGTCGGCTTTGTTACAATGATTGTGTTTGTGCAAGAACTCCATTAAAAGTACATAAAGTTAAGTGGATCACACAATATTTTTGATAAACCTGTGTTCCACAAAAATATATACTCTTTCCTCTGTTATATTGCAAATGTTAAGATTGTTAAAATGGATATAAGTACCACTGCTATAAAAATTGTAATTATCTATATGCAAGCCATCGCTTTGGGATTCAATATTTCGACATTAATTATGTCATCATCAGGAATGAAGGATATTATATATAATATTCTGTATTTTTAAAAATCTTTTAACTTACAAATAATTATACTTGAATATATAATTTTTTTAATATTAAAATTTTAGATGTTTCTTTCCAAATTTTTTATATATATTTTTTCTGTTTTAAGGTGCACACAAATAAAAACTTATTCATGGGACAATGCTCAAGTTATCTTGGTCGGTAATAAATGTGATATGGAGGACGAGAGGGTGTTGTCGGCAGAAAAGGGAAAACAATTAGCTGACCAATTGGGTAAGCGTGGGACAGTGTCCCTTCTCTGTCTTACTTGATACATAGTTACCAACCTGAGAGATTTGAAATGTGTGACTACACCAGTTGGGTGGGTGGTGCCGTCGGGGGTCCAGGGGCGGAACCCCTGCGGAGGTTCGGGTTCCGCTCACATAATCAACGGTTGGCTGTAACAAAAAAAATCGCAAGACTGCACACAAATACTAGATTCTACAAGTGCGTGGCTGGCTGGGTTGTTCTGGGCGGGAAAGAAAAATTTTCTCTGTGAATTGATTCTCGAACAAGATAACAAAAGCTCTCTAATGACACAAGCTAACCTAAATTATCCTAAATTATTTATACTTTATCTCAGCTACTTATTGTCTATGATAAGGTTTAGCTAATATCTGATGCAATTTACTATTGTTTTAGATACAGCTGTATATTAGATTTACAGTGTTATTCGGAATGAAAATTTACATAGGAAGCTGGTTATGGTCATTATTATGTTAATTACAATGACTTTAGAAGCTTGCGTGAACTTGACTGTCCTAGACTACAAGATTCATTTAGAAAAGAAATAGTACTTCACTATTATTACCATTAGAATGCAGTATTATACTATGTACTTTAACCAATCCAAGACACTTCAAAATAGAAACACCACCCACACACATTATTGCTACAGAGATACAACACCCACATATTGTTACTATTGGGTTATGGTATAATTTTGAGAGAGATATATAGTTTTTTAGGGCACAAGTTATGACAATGCCAGCTCAAAATATCCTAAATCAGTTTGTGAATTTTGACAGCAAGTAAATGTGATGACATCTGTTCTGGTTTTTTTTAAATATTATTGATAACCTGTCACTTGGAATGTTTTTTTCACAAAATGAGAGGTTTCATATTTTGAATTTCAATATCAAAAAAGAATAAAGGAAATCCTAACTTGTATTTGGACAGCATTCTTCATTTATTTCCGCTAAAAATTATAAAATTTTTAGTGAGCAACCACTCTAACTTTTTAAGGGACTGACGAGTCCAGGTCAAAATAGAGATTGACCCATGGAGGAAATTTTACATGGAAAGTCAGGATTACAGTACCTCAACCCCACTGAAATGAAATTTTATGCCTATACATTTAGATGGCTGGAAATGTCTCAGGCTTGTACTTTTAAAATTTTCTCCTTTATTTTATTTTCAAAAAATTATCAGCCCAATGCATTTTCTCTCTATAATAATCAGATGATAATGCCAAATAAAAAAAATGATTGTGTTGGCCACGTCCCACCGTACCAAAATGTACAAAAATTGAGGTTCATCTTATTTTGTTTTTTTTTACTACAATGAAAAATATTCTTGAATCTTGCTGGATGGTAGGCGATATGACAGTGTTTAGCAATCGTTTTGCTCTTCAATATAGATTTTTAAATGGTCTTTTCTTCTTTTGTGTGTGTATTTCTACGTTTTAGGCATAAACACATTATTGGTTAAAAAAAAAACATACCTATTGACCTACCCATTTTTTGGATTTTCCTAAAAGGTTTTTTTTTTTTTTTAAATTAAATGAAGGCCTGTAAAAATCGGCATGCGTACCATAATTTTGCTGTGGTATTAAAAATATGCAGTGTCATAAGAAAAAAGTCAATAAATAAACAAGTACAATATTTCTGAATCATCAGGCAAAGGAAAAGATAGAAATACTGTATTCTTCTGATTCTGTGGAAATTATCCATATCACAGTAATATATTTTAAAGTGAGGTGACCTTGGAATGAGGGAATTCTATAACAGTATACTGTTGCTTGCAGTTGATGAATTTGTAATTTTTTTTTTTATTGGCATTGACAATTGTAGTTACTCATTGATCAGTAATACCAGCATTTGCTTAGCTATTGTATGACTTCACAAGTAAACAAGACTGATTAAAATGGAAGTATTTCAAATTCAGTTTAAAAAATATCTTTCTGTGCAATAATTATACCAATCTTATCAAATAAAAATATAATACACTAAATGGGTCCATCGATTATGTAAATTCAACAGTATAATAGCTTTGCTTTATTGTTTATTGACCTGGCTTTTAATATGAAACTATCAACAAATATGACAATAAATTATAATTTTTAATTGAGGCTTAATCTATAAAGCCCTGGTTCTTAATTACTGTATTTTTTTTTAAGGGCCTATTTATTTTTAGAGTTCATCTCACTGGCCAAATATCATCTCCGAGTTGCAAGCAACTTGTTATGTTTTATGACTGTAGGGTGTGGCTGAAGCCCCCTGTTGGCCGCAAAGACATTTAAAGGTTTTTGGCAATTTCGATTTCTTTTCGATTTTTAATTGTACTACAGCACAATATTGGGACACTACATCTATTATAATTATTGCTACCAAATTGATTCATTGAAAAATTATTTTTAGTTTCTTAAAATATTTTTTTATAATTGGATTTTTCTCTCTCTGGCCAGAATAAATTACTTTGGGGCCAAATTTGGCTTGCAGGCGGTCTATTAAGAACCAGGTCTAAAAAGTATTAGGATACTATATATCATTTTTCTAAAAATATTGTGAAATTGAATTAACAACCATCAACTGGTATTTAGATTTGAATTTGTAAACATTAAATGAAAGAGATCAAACTCCTACTGCCAATCGGATGAGGGAACAGCCATGGGGAAGGGCACTTGTCAATATGCCTGAAAAACAAGTGATTGTGCTTCTAGCAATAAATTCAGAGGAAAGGAGATTTTGCTTGTCAAGACAGAGAGAAAATGTCATACTGAAGCACAATAGGCTAGTCTACAGGTTTGGGATTGGGGAACTAGCCATAGATCATGGCCCACAACAATACTGCTTGGAAATTTACATTGAAAAAGTATGCAATTTAAAATTGTTGGTCTTTGTCAAATCCATGTAGACTCAGGGTAGCCACAGTGCATCTCCATTCATGGACAGAAGTTGCCAGAGCTCGCTGATTCTGGGTCATGACCTTGTTTTTTTTTGGCGAATAAAACTATAAGTTTGCAGGAACACACAAAATGTTGCTCTATAAAAATAATTAAGCTGTCTTTAAAAATCAATTGCATACTTGCACTACAATACAACCATAGTGTTATTTGTTTAAGATGAATGTCCTGGTATGAGACCTTGACATTCTCTCTGACCTTTATCAATAGAAATATATCAAGTATGAAGAATTTAATAGTACTTTGTGTTTTGTTTGTTTACTTCAACAGAAAGTACACCATCCAATTATAGGATGAAATAATTCTTTATAGATAATGTATTACTAGAGGATGACTTGCTTACCCTCTGAGGGTATGTTAACACATACGGCGTAAGACTGGCGTAGCTTACGCCAGCGTAAGATAATACACGGATTAAAATTCCAAAGTGTTCACACAAACGGCATTTGCTATATTAACGCTGGAGTTAAACTAGTAGTAATATTATAGGCCTCCATGGGGGAATTGTTTTCAGTTTTAAATAATGTACAGGTTCTTTTACTGTAGTAAAAATATTTACAGTGCATCATTAAAACTTTTAAATCTGTGAATTGTTCGAAGTGAACTTATATGTGGCGATGTCAAGCAAAAACGGTCGGAAGTCGGAAAAACCAATTTTTATTTACCACCATCAACTGAATAATCACATTATAATAAATAAAGCAGTGAAAAAATTATTAAATTCTGATACTTAGTTCTAAAGTTATACCGATTTATACAGCGCGAAGTTAGCAGTTACTGTTTGGAAGAAACGGCGATAAAACTGATGTTTATAACGCCCAGTCGCTGGCAGTGCGCTCAGCGTGTAGCTTACTCACATGTGTTCGGTGTGTTTGATACTTCCTTAACAACGGAGGTGTTACCATTGACCGATTGAAATGAAATTTCGCAGAAACATTTTACATAATGTATTTTATTGCTGTACCAAGTTTCATGTACTTACATTCATTAATAAATGTGATATTACTGATTCAAATGTGATGGTCGTTTTTACTGTAAACAACCGGAAATCGAACACTGCGACCTTCAAACCAGTGCGTTAAACTATTACAGAACGCGTTTTATTCGTCGTCAACTTTATCAAGTCTGTGTTATACAGTATAGCCCATTTTTCATGTACCTGTACTACCGAATTTTCTTGTGTAAAAGAAACAGTATTATTGTTTTATAATTATTGCAGCAGTAAACAAGTAACTTCGAACTTCGAGCTTCGAGCTTCGATGAAAACATGTAACGTGCACTACTACCTTGCCGACGCTTCCATCGAAAACCCAAGCGACGCAGTCTTAGACACGCCCCAAAAATGGTCAGCTGACTGCGTGTTTCCCTTTGTTGCTAGGCCGCTTACAAATTGTTTACAGTACCAAAACGACTGTTTTGATTGGTTAAATAATTTGTGATGAACTGACCAATCAAAATTGTAGCTGACATTCTAAGCTTTCCAACGATATCAAACTTGACACGAGTTTGACCCCGGAACACGATTGAAAAAAACAGTAATTTCGTGAGTATTAAACGATGATTTGCTTTCGTTTTTCATACTTCCGGGTTCGAGTGTCCAACTAAAATCACGTTTTACAGTATTGTTGGTACTTAAATGTGAAAAATATTATTTGAATCCTATTCTTAGATACTTAATATACATGTTTTTAATGAAACACCAAAATGAGCAAATTTGACCTTGTCTATTGTTGTGCCTTTATATCTTAAAATCGTCTTAGCGACTTCCGACCGTTTTGGCTTGACATTGCCACATATGATTATTGTATTTTAAATGAACAATTACTTCTGATTCTCAACTAGCATTATGGAACAATTGTTGGTGTTGCAGGTTTTAATAGACAGTCTAAATAGGTTAAAATATCTTACAAAACACAATCAATAAATCATATGTATTGGTAAACTCAATGATTAATATGAGTGGATTTTAAGGTTGGGCAAGAAGGTTAAGAAAGGTAGGTTATGGGCCCTGAAATTAGCTTTAGCCTTGATGGAAAACTTCAGTACTGGTTGGCCCTGCCCACCATAACTACAGTCCATGCCTGCATTCAGAATCTTAGGACTTTCCAATTATTTTCTGGCATTCTCATTCTGTGTTTGTGCTGCTTTTTGATAAAACACACAACGCACATGACATTAGGAGTGATGAATCATGCACATTATGTACGCATAAGTACGCATCAGTTTTTATAGGTTAGCCCATATTCTTGCACTTGAAGCCTGCGATTGGGTAATATATACCAGCAGAAGTGCTTTATTGAGAATGCATGGCTGATATATCTTTGATTAAAGTGTGATAGTACCGTATATCGTGATATGGAGAATAGATAATAGATAAGAAATGAAAACGTACTGTATATAAAACAATTAGATATTAAAATCAATAACAATGAATTTATATAAAATCATAATACTGAATTCATATGCTAAAGTATTTGAGATGAAAATAATTTACAGCATAGTAATACAATATACAAATAATAAAAATTAATATGAAAATTATACTTACTGTAACGTATACAGTAGCATCTTTCTTGATTGCCTATTGTACTTGGTGACACTAATTCTAAATGTTGCTCCATTGCGAGCGACAAGTTTTTTTTCCCCTGATATTTTTTTCCGACAAATTGACGTAAGTGATATTATGTTTTACAGGAAAAAACTTTATTAAAACATGTTTTGGCAAATGGACAACAGCAAGAAAACAATGGATGTGGGCGTGACAGCCAGTTATGTTAATTCAATTGAATATATATTTGGCACAGTGTAATGGCACAGATGAAGTTGATAATAACATTTAAAACAAGTAGCAAGTATAAAATGCCTCAATGGAGGTAGTTCAGCACAGTGGGAATGGTTTGGATTCCCAACCTCGAGGTCAGGGTTTCAATCCTTCGCTGTGCATTTCGTTTGTGTCCTTAAGCAAGGTACCTTACCTGCATTGCGTCAGTTTACCCAGCTGTAAATGGTACTAGTGCATTGCGGCAAAGAACGTAAATAGCAGAAGAATGAGCTCTTTGCGTAGTTTGCATTAAATTTAATGGAACGTCCGCCCTCACTAGAATGGAGGAAAGTTATTTCATGTAGTGGAGAAACTAATGAAAACAAACAAATCAGTTATCCAACCAATCCAACCAATAAAAAATATAGCACCGCCACTTGGATGGAGGAAAATTGCTCTCATGGACGCCCTCATGGGGCGTACCACAATATCACGAACTGCTCTATCTTTTGCTATATTATTATCTTTGATTGCGGGCAGTAATCTGTGGTGGACCAGCATCCCACGCAGAGGGAGCATCACGCTTCCATCAGCTTCACACTAATTGAAACTGCGGGTAAGCTCCAGCCCTATGAGCCCCGTGGCTTACCAAGGATTTACTTTTTTTTATAGAATGCCTCAACGTTGAACTACCTCAATGTACTGTACCTACAGATAGGCCAATCACACTGTATGCTATGATGCAAGGTCAAAGTTGGCAACAGCAGCTTAATATCCTGATAAGTAAAAATACCACGATGGATTTAATAATACAAACAACTGTCGTTAATCGTGAACATGATCGCGGGCTCAATAGTGAGCCCGATCGTGTAGCAAACGTGTTTCAAGAATACAAATCTCATTGTGAATATAACAAATTTTACCAGAGCTTATATGGATTAGAGCATGTGTATGTAAATTGGCATAATACAGTAGTAACTAGTATAGCGAAACCTTCAACGCAAACACCACGTTTCACTGCGTGGTTGTTATGGTAATTAGAACCACAACAATCAGACAGCTAGCGTGATGTTTAGGTTGTAAGTTTGCTTGTTTAGAGATGGATTGTTCCAAGTAATATGCAAAGTTTATAAGCTGAATCTGCGGAGTCCAGAAAGGTGAAACATCCCACATTAACAATGTCCCGACAATGTTGCGAACTCTGTAAATGTTGAAAAGTATGAGAGGCCCCGTCTCTGAAGTGCTCGCGCATTCATGTTGAGAGTCTTCATTGGTTTCTGAAGCCTTTCTTTACCTACTACTCCGATGTTCATTTACAAATACACATACAGTTTTATATCGATCTACCTCAAAAATTTCCTGTAAATTTCAAACGTTTTAATAGTGTAGGAATAGTGTAGGATGATATTAAGGAGGGTGGTAGATGAATGTTATATAATGTCTGTGACACGCTGCCACAAACTGTAATTATGCGGTATTAATCGTGATTGACTGCAGATGTATGTACAGCCTGTCAAAATGCTGCGTAATTGATGTCATACCTGTCAATTTTATTCATAAAGGACCTACCAGCATCTCTAGCAACAGAACACATACCATCACAAACGTGGTACACATTTCTAGTTGTGTTTAATATCCATATAAATGTCTAAACTGTTTGTTGATTACTTAAGGTACAATTTCGGAAGAATTTCATCTATTTTATTTACAATGTAACCAGCTCTGGCAAAACTATCCGATGTAGGAATTTTTTAAGATTCTGCATGAATTTTTCTTTAAAACGGTGTTTATTTGATAGAAATTGGTAGAGTATCAGCAAAGTTATGAATATTTTATATCAGCCATGTAAGTTTTGCGAAAACACCTTCCAATGACTGCAAAATCAATAGTTTATTATTAAGATTTTTATTATAAAAATATTAATATACTTTTCAGGTAGATTTAGTGATTGATATTTTGCAGAAATGTTCTTCAGTATCTTATAATTTAATTACAAATTAGAACGGCTAGTTTTTCCAGAGCCGGTACAAATTTTGCTATAAAATCCATGATAATGAAATTATCAACAATGTGATTACAGTTAGTAAAAAAATAGGCTCCCAGCTGGAGCATGTGTCTCCTGCCTTAAAAAATGTTTACTTAATTATCTAAATGGGGAATCAGTTACCTCATCTGTATGATGCATGTTCGAATTTTAAATGCAATTTTGTTCGACTTTTGAACTCTATATGTTTTCTAATAGGACATCCCATACCTCGTGGTAGTACACATCATACTGTACACCTCCACCGGATTTACTTGATCTTACTGTACAGGGTTAACTGCCGGACGATAACATGTGTCTATTGCACCCCCCAAGGGGGCAGTAGACACAGTAAGGATAACTTTTGATCACTCATCATTTCTAGCATTGGAGACTGATATTGTGATTGATTAGATCAGCATAATTTATGATTATGAGCATATGATCTCTACCTTTTACCATTATTCATATATCAACATTTAAAATACCTTGTGTAAAATATCGACTATAACTTGATCCAAAACTCTGAAAGCTTATTTCAAAATAATTTATAGAATGATGTACTAACAGAATAATTATTTAGGCCTTGATAACATGTACTGTAGGCTAAATAATTTCACTTTTCAGAAAACATTATTACACCAAGAGCAAGATTTTATTCATACCTCATTTAGTGCACTTTAGTTTTTTAAATAAAAGAAAGATTCTTAATTTTTAGCAGTCATCCAGTAAAAAGAATCCAGAATTAAAAATGTTTCCTTAGGCTTATCCAAGACAAATAAAATATCTAATGTTGCAGCATGTGTAAACAACAAGTTAACTGGAAGGATATAAACCAACAATTGGAACATAATATTCTTTTAATGACATTTAAATGCTTGTCAGGCACTGTTCCTGAATATTAACTAATTTTTACAAATTAATTGATGCTTACCATAACATAAATACAAGAAGTAAATTGAAAAACACTTTAGTCTTACCACAATGGCGAAATGATTTTGGAAAAAGAACTTTTAAATATATCATTCTGTTAAATTATGGAATAATCTCTCATCAGACCTTCATAGCAATTCATTCACTTTCCTTACAATCCTTTAGAAAATCTCATTTAGTTTTCCCTTTTGTTTTTCTTTTCTGTTTCTTGTATTTATGTAATATATATATATATATATATCTGTCTCTTATACACATCTAGATGTGTATAAGAGACAGGACCAGAACAATGATACATTCGCTATTGACAATTCTTGGTGCATGTGTTGGGCACCTATATAAATAATAATATTTATTATTGTTTACTGTCACCACGGTTTTTTGTTTTTGTTTTGGTTCTTTTATTATCTCTATTAAATCTGTAAAATCTACAATTAATGTTAGATGAAATGAATCTATATAGCATAGACACTCGCTCTTTACATTTATAAAGCCATGATTTTCTGTTATTTTCTCACTCTTTTTAAAAACAATCTGCCAAAGTTAGTGTGGTAAATTTATGTACATAATTACCAATGCTTTTAGATAAAATATCCGACATTCAAATTTATGATTTACAGTTTTGCAAGTCGTATTGCCTCAAGCGGTGATTGTTTACACGTTGCAGACACTGCCACCTATCAGCTTGTTTTTATTTTATTGTAGAATAAAATAAAATCAACCAGAAATGGAAAGCTAATTCAGTCTAAATTCTGCCATATCAGAATGAGGCATTATCCAAGGATCCATTTTTGGGTTCTTTGTTAATAATTATTTCGTTTAAGATTTCCTATTTTGCCAGCTATTTAATTATCTCCTTTTTCGTTCTGTTTATATTTTTTTTTTCATTTGCACTGTCTGTCTTACTTGGTTCTAGCACCATAAGGAGTTAAGTATAGACACCTCTTTTTTGACAGCCAGTTTTATTGTGTTTGTATATTTTTCTAATATTTACCAAGTGTTTTAATTTTGATCTGTCTCCCCAGTTAAAAGGATAATATTTTACGTATAGGTTGAAATCCGATAAACAATATAATTATTTTAATTATTTTCAGGGTTGGAGTTCTTTGAAACCAGTGCGAAGGAAAACATAAATGTAAAACAGACGTTTGAGCGGCTTGTGGATATAATTTGCGACAAAATGTCAGAAAGTTTGGATTCGGACCCCACAATTGTAAGCGGTTCAAAAGGCACAAGGCTAACAGAGAATCCACAGCCAGCATCTAGCAACTGCAGCTGTTAATCCGGGAAGGTTTGTCGCGCTTACAGTCGTAGATTCCTACATCTGTGGGGTTCGGTAAAATCATTTGCAGAAGATATTGAAGTTTAGGAAACATGTTTAAACAATAAATCTCTTTGAAGTTAAAAAAAAAAAATAAGACTGACTGTGCAGAACTATAATATATAATGTACCGCTGTTGTTTTAAGCAAAACCATTGGTTGTTGAATTTGGGAGAATTTTACAATATTTACTGGTGCAATTTCAGAATCCTCATTCAATATAAAAAAAAAAAAAGACTACCTTTTGGTGTACACTGTATACAGCTAATGTGTTGATTATTAATTTTGGGGTTTCTTGTATGCTAATATTCAATGTTTATCATTCAGTATATATAAAAAAAAAACAGATAAATGTTAAACTGTGTATGATTGTATGAATGAAATAAGCATGTAATTCCTTAAAGATAATCTAGACAAGTAACGCTGATGATTCTTAACATCGTCATGACAACAAAATTATTGTTAGAATATCAAACGCTTACTTTTTTTTCAATGTGATATTTATTCATGATTTCTATTGTTAGGTTGTAATACTTTCATCCAAGTTAAGTATAAAAGTTGTTTTTCAATATAATTTATTTATGTGATCGCTTAACATATTGATTTTTGCATAAATTAAGGTTAAATAGGAACAAAAGAGCAGATGTAAACAGAAAATTTCTCATTGTTGGTCTATGTAACTCTTGCAGTCATATTACTAAGTACACATAATTGATTTTGCTTAATCGGAAGTGCTCATTGTAGAAATCGCTGTGTGAAAGGTCATTACGTTGGCTGTTTTATCAACTAACGAGAGAAAGTAATATATTCGTAATTAAGGAACTCCATTATCATAGGGCAATATAATGGATTTGTTGAAGGCCAAATAGGGAAAAAAAATGTTTCTCGCCCACTTTCTTTTTCATCTATTTTCTATTATTTAAAAAAAAGAGTCCTATAGAAATGCAATCATCCTGATAAGTGTTGAGTGCCATTGGGTCTCTAGGCCTGGTAATATACAACTGTGTTTGTGAAAGTAAAAAGATGCCTCATCCTTTGAAGAAACCTGGACAAGAAATTATTTGGCCTATAAAGACGAGATATTCAGATTAATAATATCTTTCATGATTATTTGAGAAAAATATTGCTTATGTATAAGGTATTGCTTAATGTATGTTGTTTTCTGTGTCAATATATTTAAAATAAATTGTAATGACATAAATATACAACACTTATCCTTGGATGAGAGATATTCAAGGTTTTTCTTTTTTGTAATTGTTACTTTCATGATTGTATTGACGTGTGCAACATTTTGCGTGGACTACCATAAGCACATAAATGCATGATGTCATAGCAACTGCTCTTTGATGTTTTCCAAGTAACAGGATCCCCATTACTTATTAAAAAACATGGTAAATTAAGCTATGTCAAAGAATATTAACAAACACTACTATATTTAAACAATGTTTCAAAATTCTAATTTCTTCAAATGCTTATTGGAAAATCTTTTTTATGTTTGGCCGAATCTGTCGAAATAGTTTGAATATTTTATTGGCCACGCAGAAAACCTGACAGATATTGTATATATTTAGTCGCTATCAATGATTAATAAAACCAGGTATTTGTTCGCCTTGTGTCTTTAGTTACATTAACTCATCCACAGGGACTGCATCATCAATGCACAAAATTTCATTACTCTAAATCAATAGACAGGACAGAATTAGAACTGTTCATTCCAGCTAAAGGGGTGTTTTTGTTTAAGTCCTAGAAAGTGCTTTTACCACAAGATTAAAAAAGAAAAGCCATAAGAATAATTACTATACATATTCCCATTATACATTCCATTAAGATTTGATATATTTCTTTAAATTATTATTTTTAATAGATTATATTTCTGTGATACGCTGTGTCATTTCCCAACAGATACTTGCCCACAAGTATTAGATAATTTAGAATATAATTATGGAATGTAATTTGTCATTAATAAACTTTGGATGAACTTAATGCATTTGTGTAAGTTCCACAAGAATAAAGATTATATAATTTCATTTTTTTTTTATTTGTTTTATGAAAGATATTTGACCCACTGGAAACATTGCCTTTAAGTTAAAATTTATAAAAATATTAAAATACATCAGTCATTGAATAATTTTATCTTCAGCAAAATTCGAAATTTCATTAACTGTACATGATTTTGTTTTCTGTTAGCATATTGGAATTGTCAATTTAATTATCGTTATTTTTTTTATATGCTTATTTAATGTTTAACAGTAAGCATTGGAAGAGATTATTGAAAGTAATCAATAATATTAATATGAATATTCTTGTTTTTAAGACAGTATTTGTATTAGGCAATCAGAGGTTAGGAAATTTCTCACGGTTTATTGTGTGTTTACCAGATTTTATTGTAACTTGATCCATGCTCATAGATTTCCAGATGTATCTTAAATATTATAGAATAAACATGATATAGAATCAAAAATATACGTGTTTATTTTTAGCTAAAATATTAACTAAATGTATATTTCCTGTTAATGCAATTTGTGTTCATTTAATTGACAACAAGCAATTAAAAACTATTGAATATGTATTATTAAGTGTTGTTTTAGGTTCCACCAGCGTTTTAAAATAACATTACTGTTAATATGGGAAACATTCTTTCATAATTTCATTTGATCATGTTTAAGTGCAATCAGGTTTAGGTGAAATTCAAAACTGACTGATTATATAGTTTATAAAAAAGCATTTTGACACCTTCTAAATGTCATAGTTCATCTCAAAAACACTTTCATTGGAAACGACATTTGTCAGTTGGTTAATTCATTACTCATTTCATTTCGTCATAATTGCTTGTATATTGTCTTTCATTTTTTTCCAACTTACGATTGCAATTTATTTGTCTTTCGTGGAATCATTTCTTATTTATTAGGGAAAAACATAATTTGTTCAAAAAAGATGTGTACCCAATAGGCAAATGCTGAGTGTGTTGCCCAAGCGATTGGTAATCTATAATTGAGGGTCAGTTGGAATAACAAAAAAAGTTATTTAGCAAAGTAGGACTACAACAGGCCAGATTTTATGAATGATGATTAAACTATACTGGACCTTATGCATTTTGGCTGGTAAAATGTTAATAAATAATGGTTAATTTATGGTTTAGGGGAGAAATTATTTACAAATGCCCATTTTCAACATCATACAAAAATATCAGTTTCCTGAAAAAAAATATATGTATTCCAAAAAAAGGCCAAGTTTTTGAGGTTTTATGTTGATGAGGCTTGGCCAACACACACTCTTTGGTGTTATATGATGTGAAATTTCATATAATAGTGGCCTTGATTGTTACTACAATGCTGTACATTTCAGTGTAACTGTCGAAGGTATATGAAATCTATAGATATAGTTACCTAAACGCTTCAAAAACTGTGTACGGATTATGTGTGTATTATTATAAAGTGATTTCAGTTTGTTAAGTGACAAAAGGTTGAAATATTTTGTTAACGTGCTTATTAATTTTGTTTCTGTTTTGTTTTTTTAGAATATATATATATTTAGGAATAAGAATTAGGAGTGTATGTACTCAAAATATGATGTAAACATGGCCAAAATTAATTGCAGTTTTATCTCAGGATCATGCTTGTGAAATTTTCCAGTTTTTTTTGTCAGTTTAATTTTTTTTTTCATATAAAACACATACTGTATGCTAAGGAGCGGTGACATTGATTTCTTCTAATGGATGTAAAGTTTGCTTTTATGATTTGTTTGCGCCCTTTGACCTAGAAATGCAGTATTGATAGATAATTCACTGAATGTTGAAGATATTGAAATGCAAAGGTAGTCCCTTTGAAATGTACTGAACTACAAATACGATAGAGATTCATTGTATATTCATAACGTGGTATTCTAGAGTTGAAGATTGCTCACCAAAATAAAGTAAAACATGTTTGTTTACAACAAAGAAATAATGGAAATAGGGGAAATTAAATGATCATGTCATATATTCTGTGCAATGTTGTTATACCCTAGAAAGCATTCCTCCTGTGTCTGTGATAGCATAAATCCATAAATAAGAACTTTTTTCCGATCATTCCATGTTTTTCAGTATCTTTAGGTTGTGTATTCAGTGAGGACAGTTCTAACCAAGGCACCTATGAATGCTAAACTGACTATTTATGACTTGTTTCATAAATTAAGCGAAAACTTGGTGGTGTTCTCTTAGATGTAGATAATATCCATAGTTAATAATATAATGGTTATATAAATATATTTATGTAAGTGGAATGTCTAATATAAAACAATGCAGAGTTTCTCTCTGTTGTAAATCCAATATCTAATGTTTCCCTTCTCTGGTTACATTAGCAATATGTAACTTAGTTATTAAATCTGTATGTGTATATTGAATGGTGAAAATAAATTAACTATTATAGAGGTAGTAGAAATAATGACCATACATTGATTCATTTTCTTGATATGGTTTTTACACCCTATTTTTCAGTCATACATCTCACTGTAATTTACATCTTCATTATCTTTATTGGTATTCAGACATAGCTTCACAGTAAATCATATCTTCTTTACAGTAAAATTTACAGGTACTTTCTAAAGCCAAGAATCCATTTGTCCGGTTGTAGTTGCGGTTCCGGTTGCGTTTGCGTTTACAGTGCGTTTTAAGTGATTCCATTACATGCGTTTTTAAAGGTCCGTTTGCACGGACTTACCACACCACACGACGCGTGCTGAAATAAAGACGGATGAATCGCTTCATGGAGCGATTAAAATAAATGCATGGGTTTGCAGCGATGCACTGCAACTGCACTAATGGAATCACTCTCCTTTAAAACAATTGTATATCCATTAAAATGTACTGCACCGCAAACGGAGCTACTATCACAACTGGACAAATGGATATATATATATA